TATTATGAAAAGGATCATTAGGTTGTTTGCCCATTACAATATTCAGCCGCTGACTCAGACGAGTTTCCCATAAGCACAACACACCAAACAAAACAGTCGCTGATTGCAACTCTATGATGAGATCTGTGATTTTCACAGTGCTGAGCTTAAGTGCACAGGATTTGTAATCAGCTAAAAAAAAAAAGGCAAACACAAAACACCTGTCCATAAATGGCAGCAGCTGGTCTGTACTTTGGATAACAAGGTATTTGAAGGAAAGTACTGTAGATATTTGTTGCAGGCCAATATATGACCTGAATTTTTGGCTAAATGTGGCATTACCTGCATTACCATGTCCTTTAACTGACCTTTAATCAACACAGTAAATATGATGGAAGTCTGCACTTTTGCTGCTAAACAACCTGGATTAGAATCACTGACTCCATTCCTGAAACTAATAGGCTCTTGGCAAAGCCACAGGTGAATGCTTTGCCAACGCTGAAGTTTCTCAAATAGAAAAACTACTCAAACTTTTCAGTTAATAAATTCACAAAGGACATTTCTTAGACATGGGCATTTAAAAGTGTGTCAATGAGCCAATGAAATGTGTACATTTCACTGTGTGACACTGACCCTCTGCCTTCACTGTTTCAGAAGGTGTTTGCATCATCAGACTGGAACAAAGGCAAATCAAACCGCACCAAGCCATTTTACTGATAAGTAGCTCTACCTCATTTGGGTATCAAAGACTTGCCACACTCTGCACATTTTGTTTATCGATAAATACTTTGTTGGGGCTACAGCAAAGAATGAGGTTTTGAGTGGGGACCAAATGGGGACATAGGATAAAATCTACCATGACCATTTGTTTATTTAGTATGGATGTATGTTTAGTTTCACTATGTGTTTACACTTTTTTCCTTTCTTTGTAACAGATCACATTTTTTGAGGAGAAAAAATTCCAGGGCCGCTGCTACAACTGCAGCAGTGACTGTGCTGACCTGCACACATACTTCAACCACTGCAGCTCCATCCAGGTGGAGAGCGGTGTGTGGGTGATCTATGAGTGACCCGACTACAATGGGCTCCAGTACACCCTCAGCCCTGGGGAGTACATGGACAACCAGCAGTGGGTGGCTTTCAGCAACAGCATCAAATCCTGCCATGCCATAAAGAATGTAAAAGCGCTCATTCTTCAAGCGGTATTTTAGATGACTGTATAGTTACAGGAGAGTGTCAGAAAATATGAGCAGTGAACAGCAGGACAGGAATGCACAAGGGCAGAGGACTCGCCTTTGTAAAGGCTGTGAAGCCAACAGACTAAACAAGTGGTCAATAGCAGGCACATTTGGCAGCAAGTTAGACAAGAAAATGACACACAGCTTTTTATCATCTTTCAGCAAGTTCTTTTTACAGCCTGCAATATTTTCGTTCAGTCGTCTCCTCAGCAGCAGTAGGCAGCTGTTTTCACCAGAAAACTAAGGATAACCTGGTTGTATGATACCCACCCAGCTCCAAACAGCAGACAAAATTAGCAACTAGCTAGTGAACATAGTGGAGCATTTTTAGTAAATAGCCAGGTATATTTCTCAGGTGTTGGCAGAGACCCAAGCAGAGCTAAAAGGACGCTGAGTGTTGGACTTAAAGTCATCAAATCACCACAGAAATTACTCCAACTGAATGCTAATGTTGCTCTGTGTCTGCAGGTTGTGAAAAGTGAGATTTGCTTAATTTGCTTAACCATTAGCTGCGCCAACTTTGCAAGGCCACAATATGTGATTTTTGGCCCCCAAGTGATCACTTCATCTTTTATCTGCCCTATGACCTGAACATAAAGGGATCTCCTCATTAGACCAGCAAAAGACCTAGATACTGTACATATTTTTTATACTGATCAAAATTTGTCATTAACATTTATATTAAGAACTGCCAGTTATCGTTAAATATGTGAAAGTTTAGATGTTTTCTCAATCAGTTTTTGTAAAGCTGTTTGTGTTGAGATAACATTTACCTGTAGTTCTCAAAGTAGGATATCAAAAAACAGTTCGTTTTGTGCTGACACCAAAACTTGAAGCTATTGAAAAATAGCACAGAGCCAGTTCAGTTTCATGCAGCTCTTTTTGTCTTTCAGGTTTATGTCAGTGTGTGGGAGCTGAGGTTGTACGAGAGGGCAGATGGTGGAGTGCTCTGACGACTGTCCTTCAGCGTTCGATACCTACAAGCTACGTGAGGTTTACTCCTGTGTGGTGACCGATGGCGCCTGGGTCTTCTACGACCTCCCCAACTACAGGGGACACCAGTACCTCCTAAAGTGAGGTGAGCACCAGCAGCACAGCGACTGGGCGGCATCATCGCCTGGTGTCGGCTCTTTCCGCAGGATCACAGAGTTTTAACTCTGACACGTGACCTTTTCAGATACCAGTGCCTTGCAAAAATATTCATCCCCGTTGAATTTTTCCACATTTTGTCACATTACAACCACAAACTTAAATGTATTTTATTGAGATTTTATGTGATAGACCAACACAAAGTATTGCATAATTGTGAAGTGGAAGGAAAATGATACATGGTGTTCAAAATTTTTTACAAATAAAAATCTGAAAAGTGTGGCGTGCATATGTATTCAGCCCCCTTTACTCTGATATCCCTAAATAAAATCCAGTGCAACCAACTGCCTTCAGAAGTCACCTAATTAGTAAATAGATCCACCTGTGTGTAATTCAATCTCAGTATAAACACAGCTGTTCTGTGAAGGTCTCAGAGGTTTGTTAGAGAACATTAGTGAACAAACAGCATCGTGAAGACTAAGGAACACACCAGACAGATCAGGGATAAAGTTGAGAAGTTTAAAGCAGGATTAGGTTATACAAAAACCAAGAGTCCCATGGTAACTCTGGAGGAGCTGCAGCTCAGGTGGGACAATCTATTCACAGGACAACTATTAGTCATGTACTCCACAAATCTGGCTTTTATGGAAGAGTGGTGAGAAGGAAACCATTGTTGAGAGAAAATAAGTCCCATTTGCAGTTTCCCAGGAGCCATGTAGGGGACACAGCAAGCATGTAGAAGAAGGTGCTCTGGTCAGATGAGACCAAAATTGAACTTTTTGGTCTACATGCAAAAAGCTATGTGTGGCAGAAACCTAACACTGCACACCAACCTGAACACACCATCCCCACCATGAAACATAGTGGTGGCAACATCATGTAGTGGGGATGCTTTTCTTCAGCAGGTACAGGGAAGCTGGGCAGAGTTGATGGAAAGATGGATGGCACTAAATACAGGGCAATCCTGGAAGAAAACTTGTTAGAAGCTGGATGCTCTCCATCCGATTTGACTGAACTGGAGCTACTTTGCAAAGAAGAGCAGGCAAAAATTGCAGTCTCTAGATGTGCAAAGCTGGTAGAGACATACCCTCAAAGACTTGCAGCTGTAATTGCAGCGAAAGGTGCTTCGACAAAGTATTGACTCAAGGGGGCTGAATACATATGCACGCCACACTTTTCAGATTTTTATTTGTAAAAGTTGAAAGAAAACTAAACAAACTACAGAAGAACAGGCCTCATTTTAATTTTTTAGATTACAAATAATCACAAGACTAAATATATGTTAAAATGAAACAGGACAGAGAGAGAGAACATCGTATGATACATATGTGAACATATTACAGTGCAGCCTTATGGGATTCATCCTCTGGAGCCATAATTAGGGGCCACCCAGCTATCGGGATACAGAGGATGTTGGCACAAGAGCCATCTTGTGGTGTAAGAGCTTCATTACACAGGACAGGACACAGGTGCCTTCATGCTCTAAAGGACATAAATAAACAGATAAAAAATGTGTTGTTTGTTTTGTTATGTTGACATAGTAAGTCAGCACAATTTATATAAGCATTATCATATAATCTTACATAAAGTTACATTTATCAGATAATTTCTATTTGTGTTTGTGTTTTAGTAAGTTAAAAACATCTCTGTATATTTATACTATAGTATAATATAGTATATTTATCTAGTCAGTTTATAGTCAGTCAAAGCTATAAGAGAACAGGCCATATATCAGTATAATTCTCATTTGTTTTTTTTCACACTTGTTCATACTATGTGTTTAAGAAATATTAAAAAAGAACATTCATCATATTAAGTATTGCTATTTTAAACCATTAGAAAACACTGAGAAATAGTATTACTGCAGAGATCAGATGGAAAAATATCATAAACACAACCTTCAGACACATTTGATAAGAAACTGTAAGACTTCAGTGTGTAATTTCCTGTTACAGGAGATGTTAAACTCTATCATGCTTGTTGATCTGCCAAAACGGAAGAGTAAAAGTCAATGATGGTGTGTGTACATAGCAGTAGACAGGCGAGTAAACAGGAAGCGTAAATCAGTAACAGAGGCGCTGAGCTCAGCTGATGTTTAAACTTTTATCGTTGCACAGATCCACTCTGGCGTTGCCCCAGTGCTGATCAGGCAGTTTCTGAGTAGAAGATAAATACCACCTAAGCAGGTCATTCACTCAGACTTTATAAGAAGGGACTTTTACTTTGAAAAATAAAAACTAATAAAATGTCTTTTGCAAGAAAAGACAAAGCAACCCTATTTTAAAGTAAGGTTTAAGATGCAGCAGTAAATGCTTTACTCTGTTGGTTGGATTCTCATTAACTAGTTTTTTGTATTTGGTAAAACGTGACTTTATTGAATAGTATGGATTCTTAATACAAAATATGATAAATTAATTATGGTGTATTATTATAGATTAGAATGTAATCAAATAAAATGAATGTAATCTAATAAAATTCTGCAGTTATGCCATACACTCTGATTCAACTAAACCGTTCCAATAAGTTATTGCTATTTTTATTGTTCACTCATTATTTAATTTATTCAAGTTTTGTTTATTTATTGCTCTCGTACTTTATTTACTTAGTGCTCTGGCCCTTTAAAAGAGCTGTGGATCCATGAATGAAACGCAGTCATTCATAAAAAAGCACAGACAACGGACGTCAGAGCAGCCTTGAAGACGATTGGCTCGCTCCTTTGACTGGCTTCATGTTTTGGCCAATGGTAGGGCAGCACAGGGATCGCTCTAGATCCAGCCACCAGAACTCTTCATTGAGAAAAGTCCACAGGCGAGTTCTTATCCAAGGAACTACGTGGGGATGTGGGGGAGGAAATCTGCGTTGAGTTTATTTTACACTGCCAAGACACTTCACTAATCAAGTGAGTCATTGCGTGATTATACAGTCGCTTTAATAAAAGCTGGGCGTACGTGCGTGGGCTTGCTTTATTCGATTGCATGAACGCTAACCGCAGCGTTGTGGCTTGTTTGTTGCTGGCAGTGAGGGGGCAGACAGAGAGGCGAACGCCATTTTCTGATAATCAAAGTCAATATTGCGTCCATTTCCCCGCATCTGGCAGCTTTGCAGAGCGGTGTTTCCGTTTGCAGCAGCCGTCGATACGGCCTGTCCGCGCCGTGAACCTTTCTCCGGGCTCTGTGGCACATTTCTCAGGTCCCCTCCCCGCGGGGGTCACATTTCACTTAACTGAGAAAAACAAGGAGGTCTCACGATATGTGCGTCACGACAAACTCCATTTACAAATCGTTCATGTTAACGTCGCGTATGTTGCATTGAATACGGGTGAAAACGCAAAGAAAAGGACTCTCGTCTTTTCATGTTGATGTCTTTCCAGCAAATACCCCGAACTTCAATCACAAGTTTTGGTCTTTATACACTATATTTCTCAGACAAAGCAGCTGTAGCCAGACGTGCTGTTTTTAATCCACTGTATCCACCAAAGTAATTATGATAAACGGGGCTTATAATTAAAGCTTTTCACTTTCATCTCACGAGATGTTTTGTTCATAATGTAGTTCAACCCACATGCTGGGATGGATATAGCTGAAATGTTTACTAGAATATATTTTAATAGACCTGTGAGTCATTTCAAAACCAACTGTCTAACAACATAATAACCACAGTAGTTGAATTAAAAAATGTCAGTGTTCCCAAAACTTTTAACCATTTTACTGTCACCTATATTAAAACATCTAAACATGTCTTTTTAAAAAATGGCAGCATGAAAAGTTCATCTAACTTTACTCTGCTGCCTTGGAATGTGGTTTGAAGGTAGATTTACATTTCCAAATGGCTTTAAACTCCAACATAATAAAGAAACACATGGTTTAAAACACTGGCATGGTCCTTTTCACTAAAGGCAGATAAGCAAAAATCAAAACAATAATTTGAGTATTAATTCTCATGATGTCAACTGAAAGGCTATTTCCAGAGCTGTCAAACACATCTCACTTGCTATGCATAGATGTTATTTAGTCACAGCAATAATTATATTTTTAAACATTAGGAAGCTGCTTTGTCACCTAAAAGCTATTGTACTGACATTTTACTAGAATTAGTACCTCTTCAGACACCATTTGAAAGATTATCCTCCAGTACATCCAGATTAATGGGAGTCCTGTCCTGATCAAGAAACTGCTCAGACAAAATCAAATGTTCATACTCTACCAGTATTTTGACATTTCGGGCCATATTTGCTTTCTTGCTAAGAGCTAGATGAACTCAGGTCTGTACACATTAAGGATGATGAAGAATAATGCCACTTTTGCTCATCTGTCCTCCCTCCTCTGTTTCATTCCAGAGTGAAGACTCCTGCAACATGGACGGCTTTTATGACCAAGAGGTTCCTTTTGTCGTCCCTGAGAGTGTGAGTTTGGACCGTTAATTTAAATCGCCTACATTTATCCTCCTCTCCAGGAGGAAACTGTGGGTTTGTCTATTTACAGTTTCACTGAACAGTTTTGTTTCTGAACTCCTAGAAATGTCACATAGAAGAAGCAGAGAAATGTCTCAGCGACAGGAAAAGGAAGTTCATGGACAGAGAGCTGGCTCAGGACACAGAGGGTAGGCTCGTTATGGGCTCATATGTAGAAGTGTGTATGTAATGGCTAAATGCTAACGTAGTGTAGTGAAGAAGCAAAACAAGTGTGAATGTAGTGAAAAAGTGACATATAATTCATAATTTGGTAGTTTGACATAAATGCAGGGGCAGGTGCAGCATGTTCCTGAGCTTTCAGCCACATCTCACGGTCCTCTGTATTTATTATTTTTGCAATGGGTCGATATAAAAAGTACTGAACGCTTCTAATAAATGGAAGCGGTGCTGAGCAGTTTGTCACAGTCGTTACTGTAGTAAAATACAGTTTCAGCAGCTTATTATCTCAGTGTCATGATAAACACAAACAAGCATCACTGGTTGATTAGTTGTGCTTGTCAAATAATGATTTATTTCTTAAACTGGAATTCTAGTTCTGCAAAGATGCACTGTAATGTGTCTGCTGTGTCCCACATATATAACAAGGGTTAGAGGTAACATGCATGGCTCCTGACTCAACACGCCCCTGCATGGGTTTGAAACTGAAAAGAACAATCTTTATCTTCAGTTGTGCTGCCTGCTACAGTGCCTCAACACAGCAAAGTGTCATTAGTGAGCGGGAACAACAGCAATCACAGTATTTCACTCATGACAGCAGGACTTTAACATCAGACATGTCCACTGTGTTTCAGAGCTTTTTCAAGATCTGAGCCAGCTCCAAGAAATATGGATCGCAGAAGGTGAGATGTAACTGTAGTGACAAGTGCGGTCATGCACCCTCCACACGAGAGGTCAAAGGGTATTCTGGGAAATGTAGGAAGTAATGATATATGACTTCAGGAATATACTGTTTAATTGTGTAAAACTGATGAGAATTGTCCTTTAATTTCCTGTGTTTTCCTCACTTACAGCTCAGGTTGCAGATGATGAGCAGTTTGTCCCAGATTTCCAGTCCAATAACTGTGAGTAGCTGGTTCTACTGTGGAGATATTTTAAGCCTTAGTGTGCACATTGCTTTCCTGTAGACTGTGATTACAGCCAGTCTTCAAGGGGCCAACAGATAAACCAGATGACCTGTCTGAGTACAATCTGTGTACTCTCCAGGTCCACTGACATAAATATGACTGTGTTTAATGTTCACATTAACTGCAAATACAGGATATGGCCCTCTGATGCGCTCACAGTGGATATGTGCCAGTGAACAGTAGTGGCACAGGAAATTGCGGGGGCTATAACTGTAACTTCAAGATCGTGATGTCACAGATAAGGTGGCAGTTGGTGCATTTAGTGCTGCTGCCAAACACGCACTGCATGAATTTACTGCTGTGTGATCCACAGACTGGCTCTTTGTTCAGCCAGTGTGAGCATGACTGCGTTGTGGATTGAAGCATTGACAGTGTGGTTTCATCACCACACTTTGCTGTTAAGAATCTCACTGCCGTCTCCAGGAAGGCTGAAATCAGATGTGAGCAGCTGTGGGGCAAACCAAAAGCTGGAGAACATGAACTGTAACTAAAAATATTTGTTGCACTTGTTTCAACTTCAGAACAAAATGTTTATTTGTGTGTGTTTGCAGTGATGTTTCACAGTCCACCAGTCTGCAAAGTGAAGCGGGAGCTCAGTCCGTCCAAAGACCTGTCGCCCTGCAGAACGCCTCGAGCTGACCTGTGTCTTTATAGTTACAGGTACCAGTGAATGTTTTAGACCAGTGAATGATGGGATCTTACTGGTTTGAACAAGTCAGATGATGCAGGTCCCTTCTGTCATCTCCTCTCTCCTCCTCAGTGCCCATGACAACAAGCCGGCTCTGACTCCAGCCTCCACACCTGCAGCACAGTGTGGCACCCCCTGTCCTACTGGACCTCCACCCTTACAGAAGCAGTTACAGCTGTCTACCCCCCAGCTGACCAGTAACTGTCCCTCAAGCAATGTTTCTGCCCTGAGCCCCTCCCACCACCACAGCCTCCCACCCGCCAACCAGAGCCAGCAGTTTGCTCTGCCACGCCCCCCCATCAGCTGCCCCAATGCACCTTTCGGCACAGTACAAAGGTGAGTTCCAGTGACCGCTCTTTTTAACTGAGCTGGAAACAAATTAACCTGAAACCCTCAAACCTTTGCTCTGGTTCTCCTGCACAGCAGGGTTCAGCGGCAGCTGTCTGAGCCCTGTCTGGCTTTTCTCCCTCCGGAGAAAACACCAAGCTCTCCATACCACCCCTCGAGCTGTGACAGGCGCCCACTGTACCAGCGCCACCTTTCAGAGCCTCTGGTTCCCCACAGCCCTCGAGGTTTCAAGCAGGAGTTGGTGGACCCTCGATACCCAGAGCCAGGACCACCTGGTCCAGGACTGGCTCGGTTCCAGACCACGTTCAACCATGTCACAATCAAACAAGAGCCAAGAGACTTTGGTTTTGACACAGGTGTGTGTGTTATCTGCTACATCTGCTTACAAACACTAAATTTTATTATAGTTACTATTTTAGTTGATGTTAAACGTGGCTGGAGACGCTCTCTGTGCTCAGGGTGTGTGAGGGCGTGTGATGTAACTTCAGTCATCTGCCCACATCTCTGAAGGTCACACCCAGCATCTCTGCACATAAATCCCTAATTTATGACCGTATGTTCTGAAATCGCGTGTAACCACATAGACACCAAATGTGGTTCACCCTGCTGTCTGCGTCTGTCCTCTGTTCTGGACAGTACCAGGCCACACGGTCAAAGAGAAATAAGACTGGATCAGACAAGCTTCGCATGTCCACACAGCTTAATGTTTGTCTTAGCCATGTAATAAAAACCCTTATCACACAGCTCTGGGGGACAAAGGGTTAAATGATGTCATCACGAATTGGACTGCACTTGGCTGATCTTGTGACTTGTGTCTTCCAGAGGTACAAACCTGCCAATCATCATTTGGGAAGACTCCAGTCTTGTACCAGCATAGCAGTATTGGTGAGTCGGTGTGATTTGTGTTAACTTTGGAACAACTTTGGTAGTTTTGCTTTCTGAGTTTGTCATATTTTCTTTTTTTGTCCCACAGGATTTGGTCAGGGCAGGGAGCCACATTTGTACTACGATGACACTTGTGTTGTGCCAGAAAGACTGGAAGGTGAGACTGAATGCAGATGGCGCAGGCCATTGTGGACTAGAACTTTAAAGTATACTGTTCTTAGTCAGGGATGTGTAGACCTGTCTTTGACTGTTGCTGTGGCCAGAAACAGTGGGAGATGTCCTCATTGTCTCTGCAGGGAAAGTGCAGCAAGAGGGGTTGCCCTACCAGCGCCGCGGCTCCCTGCAGCTCTGGCAGTTCCTGCTCACTCTGCTGGACAACCCTGCTAACGGACACCTGATCGTGTGGACGGGACACAACATGGAGTTTAAACTCATCGACCCTGAAGAGGTCAGTCATTGGTGAAACCTGATGCGGGACCTAAAAGCATTAATGTAAAAAGGTTCAAGGAATCTGGAAATGTAATTTTAGTGAATGTGATACGTCAGGAATACATTGAATTTGTTTCAATTTAGCATGTCCACTTTGACTCAAGGGTGAACTGATTAGACATTTGGGTCCGTATTAGATAAGAATGTGGAAAGTACTTTTAAAAATCAGTGAAACAAAGTAAAAATAGTGATTTTAACCCAGATTAAACACCTGTTTATACCCTAATACATTAAAAGATTATGCCTTTGTTTCAGAAGCATCATCAAATGATCATGCAAAACAAATACACTTGTAATAAATATGAGACTTCCTTCCCACGTACGTACTGTAGCTGCTTTATGGACTGTCCAGTACTGCGTCACAGGTGGAGATCACTGTCAAGTTTTTTAAATCCGATCTAGCTGGATGTGTTCTGGAGGGTTTCCTCTCCTGTGCTGTGTGCAGGTGGCTCGGCTGTGGGGGATCCAGAAGAATCGACCGGCCATGAACTATGACAAGCTGAGCCGCTCGCTGAGGTACTACTACGAGAAGGGCATCATGCAGAAGGTAAAGGCTGGTCATGTTCCTGTCACTCTCACATGTGCTTTCATAGGTGTAGTGAGTGAGTTTATCTTTTGTTCTTTGAAGTATTTTCCTTTTTATATTTACAAAAGTCTAGTCAGCATTTGCAAACTTGCAGCTGCAGCAAGCAAATGTAGTACAGGCTTAGACAGAGGAGTAATACTCCTCACTAGTAGCCTTTGTTTCACACCTTGACTAGTAAGAGACTAAACAGTTTAATGTAGTTTGCCCTAAGAGAAAAACCGAAGACAAATAACTTCAGGTTTGTTGGATATATTTTAAATAAAAAAATAAAACAAGTGGGTTAATGAGAATTGTGAACCTGAGTTGTCCTGAATCAGAATCAGTCCCTGTCAGGAGGAATAATCAAACCCTTGTTCCTTCTGCAGGTGGCTGGGGAAAGGTACGTCTACAAGTTTGTGTGCAACCGCGAAGCGCTTTTCTCTATGGCTTTCCCAGACAACCAGCGGCCTAGTTTGAAGGCCGACCCAGATGCGCCCCTGCCCCCCGGCAAGGACGACATTCTCCCGCTGCCCAGCTACGAGGAGGAGGGTCCGTACCTGACTGACAGAGGGGAGCAGTGCGTCCAGGGACTGGCTTTCCTCGACGGCTACTCAGTCTAGACCAGGAGGAAACGAGGAGCCTGAACTTAATGAGCTGTGTTTGAGATGTTCAGTGTGTATCCCCACAATATGTGTCACAGCAGAGATGATGTAGGTAATGATCTCTTCTGCCAAAAGGTTTGATTGCAACAGTTCAGCTCTCTGCTGTAGCAGAAATGCAGTTCTGTGTCCAAATTTCCTGCACATCTGGTTTGGTTGTATGTGTCCTGCCATGGGATTAGGGCCAGTGGTAGCTAAAAACGGGAGATTTGGAGAATAAAACATTCTGAGGTAACATAATTTTACTCGAGCATTTAAGAGAAAAGTCATTATTAGATTGTTATAATATTACAAAAATAATAATTACATCAGAGAAAACACATGTAATTTTACAAGAAAAATCAAGTTGTACAATAATGCGACACAAGCATCAGACGGTTTTCTTATACATTTTTTAAACTCAGTAATACAAATGTTCCTCAATATTACACCTCTTTGTCATAAAACCACAACTCTGCTCAAATATCTTACTATTAATATTATGACTTTTCTCTTAAAATATTCAAATATTATTCTAAAATCTCCATTTCCCCCCCTCACAGTGGCACTAATGCTTGGTTGTATTTGTGTAGCTGTGGTCCTCGAGCACGTGAACTCTGGGATCTGTTTCAACCAAAAAGTATCTCGAAGCCATGGCGTTCCTCTAGTCGCTCACTCGGACCTGCTTTTGGGATGAGCCCTGCTTGAAGGGGACACGTATTTTCCAGATGTTAGAGTCCTCCTATGAACATGTATATTGAAATGTCTTTTGTGTACTTGTTTTCAAAACTAATACTTTTGGCATTACAGGGACATGTGAGTTTTTCCTATAACTGTTTTATGGTAAAGGTACAGCTACTATTTTTGATTCTGTAATACTGACACTCTGATGGTAATAATATGGATGGACTTTCTTATTAACAGCTCACCAGTTATCGTACCGATAGAGTTTTCTGCATTTTGTATAGTTGATTTGCTTCGATGTGTAGAAAAGGTGTATAATTATACTGTATATGAATATATTTTTGCAAAAGGCTGCATACGCTTGAAGTTGTACTATGAGCTGCAGAGTTTAGCCTACTAATGTACTGCATCGGTTTCAGCCTTTGATCCTGCAGATAGAAACTGGATGTTCTGGTTTGCTAGATGGTTGAGGAGGCTGGAGGTGTGACGTCCACCCTCAGATACTGGATGTGTGCCTTCTGCTGAACTTTACTGATACAATAAACTATTTTACTCTTTTTTTTTTTTTTTTTGCCTGAGATCATTTCAACAAGAGTGGCAAGTAAGTACACTTTAAGTACTTAAGTTTTGAGGTATTTGTGCTTTGCTTGAGTATTTCCATTTTCTACTGATTCAAACTTCATTGTAACTACATTTCAGAGGCAAGTATTGTAATACAGTATAAACATAAGCCTTGATCCCTGGTGGAAAATTCATAAATTAAAGTATAAGGTAGTAAAAGTGAGCTCCACCTTTACCAGCTGCAACATTATAAGTGATGAAGACAATAATGCATCACTAATTATAATCCAGTAGTAAACATTAAAATGAAATGTGCTATTCTATGTAATGAGTATGTTTAATTTTGGTATGTTAAGTATATTTTAGTCCCGGTCCTAATACTTAACATTTTCAATGTAGGACTCTTGTAACAGAGTATTTCTACACTGTGCTGTTGCTGTAACATCTAGTGATTTGCTCTCTGTGCTACACTGCTCTCCGCCTCCACTGAAGCAGCAGCAGCGCCCTCTGGTGTCTGTAAAGAGAAGTAATAATTTCAGCACTAAATCACAAAGTAGTGCTAGATACAGCAAAACCATAGTCAGTGTGCAAAACTAAAGTTGTGCCAGATCTCGTAAAGCCAACCATCAAGTTTTTTTCTTTCCTATGTCCCCTCCTGGGTTCGGTAATAATTTAGCTATGGTGGTCACCTGTTTTTATCAGAATCAGAAAAGGAGACTACAACATGTGAGGGACCCACCAGCATCTGGATATATTCCTGGAGCCCCAGAGCTACACCTGGACAAGAGCTCAAACATCTGGATTAAAAGCTCAGTTAAAGTGTTTTATTTATATAGATAACAGAATGTGTAAAAGGAGATTGTTACACCCTCAGATGGACAATGGCACCAAGTCCTGAAGTTTCTGTCAGGTGAGCCAGAACGCACTAAGATTTTTAATGAAATTATCTCCTCTCTCCTCTGCCATGACATACTGTATACCTACAGTGCCTTACGAAAGTATTCGGCCCCCTTGAACTTTGCGACCTTTTGCCACATTTCAGGCTTCAAACATAAAGATATAAAACTGTCATTTTTTGTGAAGAATCAACAAGTGGGACACAATCATGAAGTGGAACGAAATTTATTGGATATTTCAAACTTTTTTAACAAATAAAAAACTGAAAAATTGGGCGTGCAAAATTATTCAGCCCC